ACTATGTTCCCTTTCCTCTCTTTTGGAATGGTAAAGTCTATTCTGTGGTAAAGTATATCCTGTGCTATTGTATGCTGGAAGTATGTTAACTGTTAAGGCCTAGGTAAAATGTTAAGGCCTAGGTAACTGTTATCTGTCTAGCCTGCCCTTTTGTGCTTTTACTAAGAAAACTTTCTCATATGTAGCTACTGCTGTTACTAGAATGTTCTGTGCTTTGGTCTTCTTGAAAACCAATCGCAATAGAAGTCAGTTAAAACTGCTTTGTATAGTTAGCCACAGTAAGTCTGGACCTAAACCAAAGGCCAGGCAGCAGTTCCTGCACCTATGTATAAACTTTTCAGGCTTTTGCTTTTATAAGCTGCCCCTGGGGTGGACCCCAACATAAGAGAGACACCTGCACTGATATATGAAGCTATTTGGAATAAGACTTCAGTCTGAGCAGTGATCAAGTAAAGTTTAACTTCCCAAGACTTCCCTGGGAACTGACATCCTCTTTGGCAGAAAGAGACATGTACCTGGGTAACCGACATCCTGTTTGGTAAGTTAGGACATGAATATTAGACAAGGCAAGTTCCCTGCCACAGCCTAATACCCCAACCAATGGGAACAGGATAAGCATACAACAAATACATTTCTAAGGAAATTCCCATCCCTAGATCCTGATTAGTGGAATAACTTGGCACAGATGTTTGTGGATTTTAGGCTTAAAAAAAGCCCTATAGGATCTTAACTCAAGGTCGCACCCAGCTCCCGAGCCTGATCTTCAGCCCTGATTGATCAGTCTTGGGGTGTGACATTCAATAAACCATCCCTATTTGACTGAGATCAATGTCTGAGTGGTCTGTGTGGTGATTCCCAGACCACAGCATTATCTGCTCTTTCATTCTGATTTGACAGGCTGTTACAGTTAAGAAATTGCCATGAGTCTTACAAGAGACTTTGAACCTTGGACTTTTAAGCAGTGTAGAGACTGTGACAGACTGCAGAGGAGGAAATTGGACTGAATGCAGTTTTGTGTTATGATATGGCTACAAGCTATGGGGGCTAAGGACTGGAATGTGGTAGCCTGGATAAAAAAGGTCCCTATAGGCTCCTAAGGAGTGGCAATATTAGGAGATGTGACCTTTTTTTTGGGGGGGGGGATATGTCACTGGGGGTGGGCTTTGAGGTTTCAAATATTCAAGTCAGGCCCAGAGTCACCCTCTCTTCCTGCTGCCTGAGGTTCTGGATGTAGAACACTTAAGCCACTTCTCCAACACCATGTCTGCCTGTGTGCTCTCATGCTTCCTGCCATGATGATAATGGTCTGAACCTCTGAACTATAAGTCAGCCCCAACCAAATGCTTTCCTTTATAAGAGTTGTCATGGTCACAGTTTCTCGTGACAGCAATAAAAAGCCCAACTCAGACAGTCCTCGACTTGACTCCTCCTCGATTACTTTTTTAGACATTGGGAAAAGAAGTCAGGAGACCCAGGATGAAAGAACAAAAAAAGACTGAGGAGAGCCCAGTGAGCCAGGATGTGTTTTCCTGGAAAAGACTCAGGAGAGGACAACCGACTGTGAGCACCCAGAAGCTAGCAAGCTGCGTCACTGCATAGCAGAAGGTAAAACTGCAGGAAGATTAAGCTCAAAAGCCTTCACCATGACAGAGGGTGTCAAACGCTGCAGACACAGAGCAGTCTCTTAAGAGACAAATGAGCCAACTGAGATAGCTCTGAGACTCTCCTGGGAGAAAGTTCAGAGGTTTAAGAGTCAATGGCTTTGAGCCTGTCTAATAAAACTCAGCCAGCCACCATAAGACTCAATGAATGAAGGCCCATGAGAGGTGACACTTGTGAAAGAACTGGACAAAGCTGTAAGCACAAAAGACCATCCGTGGCCCAGAAGTACTCTCAGACATCAGGGTGAAGAAACTCATATTGTATGACTGAAGAAACTGCAACCCAGACCATTAGCCCAAGCCTCCAGAAGCTGTCGATAAAGATACAGCACAAGACATTAACACTAGGCCCCAGCACTAACAGCAGAGTCAAAAAGGGAGAAACTTGCCTGTTAAAGCTGCAGCCTGGAGTACATCCCAAAACCTCCATCCATAGACCTGTGAGGCCACTGGGGCACAAACCCTGCGCTGTTTCTCATTCCTGGTCCCATATAGGTGCTCTTGAGTCCATTGAGTTGTTTAACAAAAATGCATGAAGTACTGTGATCCCACATGACACTCAAGACATACATATATGCACCAGGAATGGCTGCACATGCCTATAACTGTAGCTGTTAAAGTTTAAAGCTCCTGATATAATAATCCAAGGTTACAACTCATTAGTAGACAGAAAGCAAGCTGTTCCAGTAAGAGACTCCATATATCTTTAGTCTGAGGCACCTCCTGGGAAGCCTCCTCCCTCACAGAGTTTTCCTCCATTTTCTATGCTTCAAATGACAGCATGACCATATGTACGGCACTTGGGAGGCAGAGGTAGGAGCTCAGGCATAGGCTAGCCAGGACCAAGTATTAGACATAAAGTTTGGGGTGGAGGCACACGGCTTTAATCCTAGTACTCAGAAGCAGAGGCAGGATGTTCTTTGTGAATTTGAGGCCAGCCTGGTCTGCAAGCAAGTTCTAGGACAGCCAGAGCTACAGATAGAAACTCTGTCTCAAAAAACAAAATCCAAAACAACAACAACAAAAACAAAAACATAGTGGAAGGAGGTGTTGCTGGGAAACTCAGTGAGAGAGTGCTTGCCTGGTACATGCAATGCCCTGGGTTCAATCTCAAATCAAAAAGCAAGTACAAGAGTAACTGTCTGGTTGAGAAGTTCAGCTCAAACCTCTCTCCTAGTGTCTTTGTTAGGGTTTCTATTGCTGTGATGAAACACCATAACCAAAACTTGAGAAGGAAAGGGTTTATTTGACTTATACTTTCCAAACCCTCACTGTTCAGGACAGGAGCCCGGAGACAGGACCTGATACAGAGGCCATGGAGGGGTGCTACTTACTGGCTTCCTTCTCATGGCTTGCACAGCCTCCTTTCTTGTACAACCCGAGACTACCAGCCCAGGAGTGTACCATCCAGAATGGGCTGGGCCCTCCTCCACTGATCGCTAATTAAGAAAATGTCTTACAGCTGGATTTTATGGAGGCAATTTTCTCAAGCAAGGCTCCCTCTCTCTTGAGTCAAGTTAACATAAAAACAGCCAGTACAAGGCCTAGTATGTTCAAGGCCCTGGATTCAATCCTCAACATGTGTGTGTGTGTATGGGCGCGCGCACGCGCACACACACACACATACACACAAAGGAAAAGAAAAAACTTAGATTTATCACAGCAGGCCTGGGAAAGTGAAAGGTGGGAACAGTTCAGGGGTAGATTATCCAGAGCTGGGAAGCGGAGGAAGAAGCAACAAACAGATCCCTAACGATCCTATGTATTCACAAAGGTCTCTGCAGATCAACTGAGTTTGAGGTTCTTTTTGACCAGATATTCAGGCATATTTCTACAGAAAATGAGGATCTCTAGGAGTGGAGGGTGGCTGCCTGGATAAGGCTGACAGTATGGAGAGGACAGAGGGGAACAGGCCCTGGGGATAACTGAAACACAATGGGAGAAGCACAGGAAAACGCTTAAAAGGGACTCTCAGAAAGCAAGGGGAGAGAACTTACAGAACGATACCTTAAGTCATGACAAAGAGTCTGGGCCCTGCAGTAAGAAGCATGGCAGAGGCAGACACAGCCATCTGCCCGTTTTCGAGGGGACTTATTCCAGGACCTCCTTAGATACCAAAGGACATAGATCAAAGGACACTATACAGAACCCACACACCTTCCCGCTCTGTGTCACCAACAAAGCTGAGAACACTGTATTGCTTTGAGACTCAAAACAAGAAAAAAGTCTGTAAATGTTCAGTACATTTTTTTTCCTAGCTTGTCGTTTTGTCTTTCTGAAAAATCCAATCCTAATGGTTACAGAACTCGCGAGTGCAAAACTTTGGCAGGTCCACTGGGGCGTAAGAAAACTGGAATGCTGGGGAGGCAGAGGAGGGGAGAGACTTGGCAGTGTTCTCAGACGGAGTACAGGTGCCTGGGGAAAGAGGAGTAAAACACACTACGGGAAAGAGGTGAAGTAAGAGGTCAGACGCGTGGGAAGGGTTGGGATGTGTGAAAATAGCGAGGACTCTTATTTCTCTTGCAGTCGAGGAAGCAGAGTGGTCTGCAGGCAGGCATGTCAATGAAGGGATGTCAGGTGGGAAACGATAACTGTCCATAGTCCAAAGTCTATGAGTCCCCCAGAGAAGCCACATGATTGTAAAACAGGCAACCTGCAGATGAGTACTCTTTTGGCATCTGTTCACCTGAACTAGGAGGTGCCTCAGCACATACCATGTGTTGTCTGATTAGATTAGGACTTTCTCTTGACTATTTTGCCAATCCTTCCCTGGAGCATGCCCAGATGGGACCTGGCTTCCTAATTCTGCCCTGCTTCACCCCGCAAGCACACATCCAGGGGCATTCCACAGTTCCACTATGTACAAGCTTGCCAGTTTCCTCTCCTCTCACGTCCCAACACCGGGGGAAGAAGGCGCTAAAGTCTCCCACACAATCAGAGAATTTAAGCCACTTGGTAGGGGTTGGTTTTAAATAACACTCGACCATCCTCTGAGCTCACAATGCAAAAGTGACAAAAAACACGGATCAAGTTCCTGCTGGAAGACTACACTTCCCAGCTTCCTTTGCGGACTACCAAAGCTATTTCCACCTATTTTTGCCCCCAATAAGGGGCTGCATCCTTCTTCCTTTGTAGGCATTTTTTGCCATCTGCATACCTTGGTGACAAAATGCTCAGTCACCGTAAATAAACAAGACCAAGATTTTCTTTCCGCCTTTCTCTCTATAGCTGCTCTTGTAATCTATCACACTAGCAGAACCCTTGTCGTTATGTATACCCAGAGGCTGTGATTGTGGGCTAGAGCGCGTCCTGTCTCCTGGCGACCACGGCAGCACCCACCTCACGGGACTGTTACCGGTTAAGGTGTTCTGTCTGTAACTGCACTCAGAGCAGTTCCTGAAGCTGAGGGAGTGGCCACTAATCGCTGGCGGTTCCGGAAGAATCCAGCATCCCCAAACAAACGCACGCAACTGTGCTTCTGGCGCAGGCTCAGCCCATCAGGAACCAGAGAAAGGCCGGAAGGGGCGGGGAGCGGTGCGACGCAGGAAAAGTTGTTTCTAAGGGTCGCGGGGCGGCTGGCTTGGTACGCAAGTGACGCAGATCACAGCACCAGAAGGACTTCTGGCTCTTTGTGCTGGAGCCCGCGGTCAGTGTGCGGGAGGATTTTGTTTCTATTAGTTTGGTCACTTAGTACATTTAACGGAGCGACGTTGGGAAAGGCATTTATAGGTTCTTAACGAATATGTGTTCTGTAACGATCGGTATGCCAGGGTGCAGGCCAGTGGTGACCTAGATTTTCCAACCAGTTAAATGGTGCTCGGTGCCCGGTGCCGGTGCCCGGTGCTTGCTCGCCCACTCCTGTCCGAGCCCTGCGGTGCAGTCATGCTCACCGCTTAGCGCTGCAGACAAAAGGCGCCATAATGACGAGAAGGATCCCTCGTAGAAACCTTATCTATAGTCTTAGAAAATTGCCTCAGAATGTTTCCTGAGACAAATGTGCACTGCCTGGTGATATTCCCAAAGGTCTTGCCGCCAGAGACGTCAACAATGCAAACTGCCACCTTTGTAAATAACATTGTCCAACAGATAAAGAAGTCACTTTGACTGGGCTCAGGGGAGAATGCCTTTCTACACTTTCTTTCACACGCCACTTGGAAATGTCTACATTGAGAGGGTTTTCCATCTCCTGATGCTTCAGGACTCCTGCACTCTGACCAAAGCAATTCCAGTTCACTCCACACCCTTCCAGCCTGGGCTAGCTAAGTATAGACACAGTTTTGTTGTTCACATATTTGCACTGTATCACAGTGCAAAGTCCTTAACGAATACGTGTTTGGTGACGTTCAGTGTGCCAGGCTGCAAGCCAGTGGTGACCTAGATTTTCTAATCCGTTAAATGGTGCCCGGTGCTCATTCGATCTCCATGTGATGGACCAGCCTGATTCTATTTTAAGATTAGAAGCTGTAAGTGTTCTTTCTCAGATGAGAAGGTGTGGAACCCCAAGAACCACACAGCTCTCAGCAGAAAGAGTGTCCCAGTGGAAGGACAGTGCCCCATTTATGGATCATCCTGAGACACAAGAGCCCAGGAACCACATAGCTCTGAGAGAAAGCCTTCTCAGCAAGAAGCATTGCAGCTCTCAGGGAAGGGCATGCCCAGCTGAGCTCAGGAGCCTCAGCCCTGCTCACTTCTTTTCATTGCTTCTTGGCTTCTGATGCTAGAAAGCATCACACCAGGCATCAAATCTCATAAAAGATATTTACTGAAGGGTCCAGAGAGAGTGGGGACAAACCCAGGAATGGCTGCCTCTGCTTCCAAGAGCAGGCAGCAAGACTGTTGAACAAAGGGCAGGGCTTATATAGGATTTCTTAGGGGCAGAGCTTTTCAGGGCAGAGATTTCCAGATTGAGGACTGGTGGGACTTCGAGTCCTGAGCTTGGGGAGCTCAGAGATTGGTGAGTTTCCCTATTCTGGGATTGGTGGGGTTTCATGCTCAGGAATTGTGGGGTTTTGTGGAAAGAAGCTCAGGGATTGGTGGGGTTTTCTGCTCAGTGATTGACGGCATTTTTCACCTCCTTTTCCCTGCTTTGGGCCCATAGCTGAGGCAGCATCACTGCTGAGCTGCTTGGGGAGGCTAGAGAGGAGGTGTCGCCACCGTGGACAGCTCCTGAACTGGTATTTCATGAAGGTGGTAGGCTGAGTCAGGAAAGAAAGGGCCAACACCATGGACAGCTCCTATGACTGCCTTAGATGCATCCCATAGAAACTACTGAAGCCATCTTGTTAAAAGGTCAAAGAAAGTTCATTCCTGTTTCCTATAAAACTTAGATTTGACCCTGTTTTGATCCTTTTCTGGAATTTTTCCACATCTATACCCAGAGTGTTCTGCCAAGTTCCTATGTAGCCAAAAATCCTTGGAATCCCCTACCTTTGCAGTTTGGGGGCTATTAAAAAAATATTCATTTTTTTTTCTCTATGTTCAGAGCTGTTCTCACAAACCCCACTTTAGGGAGATAGACCTGTCTGACAAAAAATAAAGCTTGCTTAATTCAACCAAAAATTTTAAGTTGGTGGTCTTTATTTTCACTAGGTGGAATTAACAGGTATTTCAGAAATGGGGTGCTCATTTCTCCATTGTACGGGGAAGACACTGAGCATGTTACAGTGGGAAATGTTAAGAGTGTTAAAGAAAAATTGTCAAAAGACCTAAGACAGGAAGGAAAACTATTCAAGAAGGAACTACCCACTGGCAATAGCTAAAGATGTTCATGGTAAAGCATTTACTATGTGTGAGATCCTGGATTCCATCCTCACCCCACCATGACAGTGGGTGTTGCAGTAGGGGAGAGAAGGCATACTCAAATTCTGACAAAGCTAGGACAGTGGGAGATGTATAGCCCAGAAGCGGGAATAGAGTCCATGCATAGAAAATGACCAAGTAATTTAGACTGCAAAAATATACTCTGAGACATGTTTAGACATGTTTTTCCTGTCGTCATCAACCCATTCTTTCATGCTTTACTTTACACTTTTTGATATTTTGCTTCTGGGAGTTAGGTCTTTAGCCCTGCTCCCTAAACAAACTTTATTTTTGTGTGTGGTCTGAGGTAGATAATTTGTCTTTTTTTCTATTTAGAAACCCAGTTCTCCCACAGTCTGCTATTTCCCTGCTGGTTTGCTCTGGCCCCTCCTTCTGTGCAGTGTACCTGATCTACTCCTAATCCCAATGTCTGTCCTTACAACTTTCTGCTCTGTTCTTGTTGTCTATCCCTACAGAAATACCTGTCTGTACTCCTCCTCCTTCTCCTCTTCCTCCTCCTCCTCCTCCTGTGAATTTCACAGCATGCACTCCAAGCCCACTAATCTCCATATCTGCCCTCTGCCCTAGCAAACTCCCCCTCAAAAGAAAACAAAAAAAAAATGAAAATAAAAAATAAGAAAAAAAGATCTCGTCACAGAAGCTGCAGTGTGTCCTGTGTGTCACACTGTATGTGTACCCTTTTGTCCACATCTTTACTTGCAAATGTTGCTCAGGTTTAAGGCCTCTGGCTTCTGCTACACTGTCAGAATGGAGATCCTGCTGTTTTGGTTCTGTAAGACCAGCCCCTTCGTAGATGGGGTAGATGTTGGGGTGAGCCAACTCAAAGCCCTGGACCTAGGCCTGGGTGGTAGCTGAGTGGGTCAGTCCATCGGCTCTCCTGCACCTGCACTGCCAGGGCCAGCTCTTCTGATTTGCTCAGGTAAGGGACAGAGCCAGCAGACAGGAGAGCTCTCCTGCACCCACACCACCAGGGTTAGGTCTCTAGCACTATTCTTTTTAAAGTGTAATCTAGATCTGATCAATGCTCTAATTTCCCAAGTGTGCACTTCAGTAAGTTTTGACAAATTTATCCAAATATATCTGTATAACCACTACAGTCAAAATATGGGCCATGATATTTTCCAGCTAATCTCCCCACCATATCCCCCGAGTAACTGGTAATCTTGTTATTAAGGATTAGATTAAATTTTCCTAGTCTCTTTCCTTCTCTTTCCTTTTTCAGTTTTGTTTGTTTTTGCTTTTTTTTTTTTTTGAGACAGGGTCTTACTATATAGCTCTGAATGTCTTGGAACTCACTGTATAGATCAGGCTACACTTGAACTCACAGAGATCCTTCTGCCTCTGGCTCCCAAAGTACTGGGATTAAAGGCATGCACCACTATGCCCAACTTCTGATCTCTTGTGTAGCTGGAACTATATGGTATTGCTGTGGGATGGATGCTGGTGCCTCTCCCCTATTCTTATTTTGAAGTTGTTGCTATATGATGAAGCCTTTGGGAGGTGATTGTCTTAAAAATATAGTTTTTGAGTGCATTTTAATGTCCTATGTAAAGAGACCTGGAGAACTTAGCTTGTTCTTCACCACAGAAAACATGTTAGAAGTCACTGTTTATAATGGAGAAATCCAGACCCTCACTGGACACCAAATCTGCTAGTACTTAAATCTTGGACTTTCTAGACTCTAAAATTGTGAGCAGTAAGTGTCTTTTGTTTATAAGCCACCAGCCCATAGTATGTTGGAGATGTTCCAAGGCTTTGATTCCATCGAGAATTTGCATGTCCTAATGCTAAAAGTCCTTGTCCCAATTGGTTTTTGATCGATCAACAGAGATGCCAACAGTTAATGGTTGGTCAGAGGACAGGACACTTAGATTTCCGCAGGCAAAGACACAGAGAGGAATGGGACAGAATCGCCATGGCATAATACATTAGAATTAATGTTAATATTTCAACTTAATCTCGAAAGCTTCTGGATTCTTCCCATCCCCACCTTCCCTTAGAAATCTCCTCTACTACACGGTAATTATTTAAATTCTCCTGTTTCCTTTCAGTATGTCTGTAGGTTCATTTAACTTGTTGAATCTCATGATCCACTGGCATTGACTCTCTCGCTGGGGTTCAGACATTGCTGACAGCCTCACTCTCCTTTCCCTCATGGATTTGGTTAGACACACTTAAACGTATCTAACTCTAGGCTGCATTAGACACACTTATACATATCTAACTCTAGGCTGTATTATTTCTGGACTCTTATTTTCTTCCATTGTACTAAATCCTATTGAGTTTTCTAACAGTCATATGCCAATAACAAGCCTTGAAAAATATAAATTTTTCATAGTGCACGCCCTCATCTGTCATTCATGCTCTCTCTGTGTGTGTGTGTGTGTCTGTATGTGTGTGTGTCTTGAAACAGTCTTTTATTACCCCGACTTTTTTTTTTGAACTTTCTATAAACCAGGCTGTCCTTCAACTTCCACAGTCCTCCTGCCTCTGTCTCCTGAATGCCAGGATTGCAAGCATGTACCAGAACTAGACTTTTTCTTTTAAAAGAGGCAGACAAGATGCAGGTCTTGTACTCCAAGATGTAGCCTGGGCTGGCTTGTAATTCATCATCCTCCTGCCTCTGTTTCCTACATGATAGAGCTAACTACAGGAACACAT